CAAATAGAAACTAAATAAAAACACTGCTACTAAGGGCTCGTTCACACCAGCCCCAATGCAATGACAAGGCTATTTGCCTTATGTTCTATTGCTTAAATTGTGCTGAAACAAAACAAATAGGACATGTTACATTTTTGTGCAGCATGTTCCAAGGCACTGTAATCCATAACAACCTTTTTAAAAAGGGCAAAGAGCAAGTGACCCTTCTGACCCCAAAAGACATATGGGAAACCCCAGAGGCAGGGGGAGCTAGCATGTAACCTCAGGGGTGGGATTGTGAAGCAATGTGAACAGATGGATGCCAGTCACATTAAAATGCAAGCAAAGTATTTATTTACTTTAGCTCAACACTCCTGGGAGAGAGGGTTAGGGCACAGAATAAACATGGACTTGGTAACCCCAGAAAAGAGAGACAATAAACACTTACAACCTTTAAAGAGAACGTACAAGCTAACCCAAAACTCTGTGAAATCAGCTCCTGACTGTAAGATACTGAATGGTCAAGCTACCGACACCTTGTGGAGAAATCATCATACTTCAGTCAAGGACCAAGTATCTGCCCAGCTTCTCAAGCACATCATCTAGACTAAGGTCCCTTCATGGTATCTCAATCCCCTGGTTCAGCATGCTCAGCCTCAAAGCCAGACCTCTGTCCAAGCAGGATTATCAGACCTAAAACTGCATCCCTCTGCCAGGCAGGCCCAAGGGAAGACTAACTTACTAAGGCCATTAACAAATATTTATACCCTCTCCCAGAGTGAAGTACTGGCAATAAACCTCCTACTGGTTTGCCAAAGAGATATACATATTCTTAACTCTGTTTATTGCAGCCTCGGACACACTATTGTCTGGGATACTCCCCAGCATAAGACAGAAGAAAACAAAATCTAGAGCCTAGGAGAGACTCAAGAAAGACTAACTATCAATCAGACTAAGGCTGATTACAGCCTGGCAACCTCTAAATTCATATAGACACTCCTGCTTAGCACTGGGAAGTATTTTAGGAAAGCTTCACAGCGCGCATGCACAACGTACACCCATGTTATGCACACCCTAATGCACACCCACTGGTGTAAATGACCCCAAAAGTTATAATATGGTGCTTTTTTGTTTTACTTATGATCACATTAGTACATTGTCTAAAGAAAGCAATATACATTTGTCAAAATGTTGACTAAGACTTCTCCAATCTCCACCCCTCTTCAGTCAGTATAATATATACCATCTAAGCATATCATCTTTCTGTCAAATATGGTGCCGCTATGATGTCACAACAACATAGCCGAAAGTGTTCCCTTCTAAGACAGCTGTCACCAGGACATTTGCCCTCAGTGGATCATGTCCCATTATCTCTTGTTCTGTGGACAACCTAAACATTTTGGATTTCTCCTGACATTCGGTCTCAATGACAATAGTCATCAGGACAAATATAAAGCTATATGTTGCCAGTGTAGAGGCAAACAACAATATTAACTTGAGAGGGGGGTTTAACCTTTCTCTATTCAATCCAAAACTTAAAACAATGTTTTGCCTTTATATACACGTTAAACCTCACCCTAAAAAAACAAAAATCTGGCAACACACATTACAATTTGTTTGTACAATATACTTTATATCTACAGCGTAAGACACTAAATAGTGCAAGGGCCTTCTTAAATATTCTGTGCATATTTATAGCCATTAGGGCAGGCCCACATGTGTCATAGTTGTTAGGAGATCTAAAGAAAATTGTACAGTCAGATTATAAGGTGTAATGTCACCTTTACACTTTAAAGTGGAACTCCAGGAATTTAAAAAAGTTAACCCCCCCACTGCAAGGGTTAACTGCTCATTTTGGTCTAGGAGCTAAAAAAACCTCAACTGATCCTCGACCCCGCCTGACTGCTAGACCGATTCCTGCAGCCTCTTCTCTGGTGGGCCCTGGTTGCCTAAGTCCTGCTGATGTCATCTTGTGTAATGCAGTCCATTTACCTGCATCAGATGTGAAGACACCAAGGGACATACCACAGCAGGAGCAGAGGGGGAGAGAGAGGTGAGCTCTCATGGTCACAGGACCAATGATTAGGTGAGTATATCTTCTGTATTCCTGTACCTAGAAAACAAAATGAGCAGTTAACCACTGCAGTGTCGTGGTAGCCCCACTTCAACGGTTAACTTTTTACATTCCTGCAGTTCTGCTTTAAACAAAACTAAAGGTTGCTGATGGGGACTGGCTCTTGCCACATTTTGCAAGTATGCCCTTCCCCAGTGATGGCAGGTCCAAGCTTAAAGTCTCCTCTACGCTCCCCACTGTTAGATCTTTCTTGGTGCTTCTTCTAGTTCCTGCATCATTCCTCTTCAGCCATTTAACTGCTGTTGATGATGTACACAGATGTTAAATGCCTCCTGGTATTCCCAGGAGTGTACACTGCACTGTGTCTGTGCTGTGTAGTGTACATAGATATTTAGAAGGTGCTACAAACATGTGGAAAATAGGTGTTTTTTTTGCCAAAAGAGACTTTGCATGATAGTCTTTGTACACTCTCCTTCAGATTTACCAAAATTATGTAATGTGAGGGCCTATTAAATTATCCAATCAATTTGTGCCCGATCCGACAGGTTATTGCACTATACAGTATATGTTTTGGTAGATCTAGGAGATTATACAGTCAGATTGTAACATGAGTGGAAAACTTCACTGCTAGCAATTCTTCATTGTGTGACTTTAGTTTTGCTTTAACCAGATTCATAAAATGAATACTTGCCTTCAGATTGATTTATAATTACAAACAGATCAAACACACTGGTATAGTGTAATATATTTAAGAAACTTGATTAGTTAAAGACTCACTGTCATGGAGAAAGGTGTTGCGCCCCCCCCCCCCCCACCCATGTGACAGTTGCTGGATCTGAATTATGACATCCACCTGGATAAGGTCTGAAACCATCCAACACTGGAGCTTAGTCAGGATTGGCTCCCCAGAAGACACTGTCAATGTGCCCTAAATGTGCAGGTGACAGTATCTCTATATGTGAGTTAAAAGCACTCACAGAAGTAGACAGTAACATTTCTGTGCAGCATTTTCACGTGTACTTTGATGGCATGCAGCATCCCTTGCAGCCCTGTGTGGTTAATGAACAATCTGTCAACAGTTGACAAAGAACTGAAACCTCTTTTGATAATCTTTCCACAAATAAGTGTAAGTTGTCACTTGGACCCACTAAAGTAGGGGGTGCATAGTCTGACTAATTTTATGGTTTAGATGAGTGTTATGCTCTTTCTAAAGCTGGTGGTAAATGACATGAGTTGGCTAATTTAAAATATCTAACAAGACTTTTATGCGATATTTGGTGCATCAAATGTTTGTCTTTGTAAAATATTTATGTATTGAATGTTACAGTGCACATTTGAAATAGAGTAGCTTACTGTAGTATATGTTAAGGTTGATGCAAGCTTGTTCTTTTTATTCATTGGGCTGTATTTTAAAGGAAGAAAAAAATGTTTGCTATCGATTTAGGATGTCTTTCCAGAGTATGATTTACCAAGATGAACCATTCTTTCATGCAAACATGCCTGAGGGAGAAGGCTCACAGATGATGCTAGATACAGTTCAATCAATGGACAAATTAAACTTAATTCTATCTGTTTCCTCTTGCTGAAGGTATCTGCTTAGTGCCTTAAATAATCTTTCAATATCAACGCTACAGCTCACCTTCCCTATTTTTTAACAAGAACACTAAGCTGATGTTGAAATAGAAACATCCTATATTTAGTTAATGGGAAGCTAATGCAATTTATTTGCTAACCTGGGCATCATATTTAATTTCCAGTTGATATGATCAATAATATATTGATTTCTTTTGACTCTGAAGGAAAGTATATATACAATCAAAGGTCATCAGAGAGCTGCCTTTTAAAATACATTTTGCAGCCACTGAAAAACCTATTACTACAATTGGTTTTCCTTTCTTTCTCAAATGATTGACAGGCTGCAAAAGTATCCGCCGATGGAGAACAAACTGGGAAAGATGCAGAAAGGACAAACGAGAGGGCAAAGCAACTCAAAGATTTTGTGAAGGATACCCTGCAGGCAGCAGAAGGTAAGATTGTTGGTGTTTTATACAAGGGAAAAACTATCATTTCAAAATATGCAGTTGTAAGAAAATGTAAGAAAATCTTTTTCAAGTGTTTTGCACTTCATTAGCGTATGTTTAAATCTGGCATATCCAGGGGATATGTGGATTTTTGCAGACCAAACCATGGGAATCTAGTCACTAAAAGGCATACAAAAATTTTTTGTTTTTGAAAGTATTTATGTACAAGGTGTCATCTCTAGCTGCAGTTGTTAGATTTCTGCGTGAAATTAGGGCTATGTTTATCAATATCAGTTTTGATCACTTTAAACCTCCACTTTCCACAACGATATTACAAATGAGTAATAAAGAGCAGGGTATAATTACATACCTATAAGGAGAAAACATTGTTGTTCTGTGTTGTTGGTTTTAGGTTGTGTTATCTGTACCAATGTCTCTTGACCCTTTTTTGACTTCCATATACAGCTATTAACAGGACAAACATATAAAAAAATCACTTTCAGCACTGCACAAAATGCAGCCTAAAACAAACTGTTTAAATACTGTTTTTGGTGTATGTGCACTATTCCTTACTTTTTCTGTGGAAAATATACACTTTAATGGGATTTTTGGGGGCTGAAAAGCTAAATGCTCTGCGTGTTTTTGAAAAAGCAGCCTACAACATTTTTAAATACTGTTTATGGAGCCTACAAAATGTGTTATTTTTACTGTAAAATATAAACACTTTATTATTTAGATGTATGAGCTGAAAAGCTGCATATGGTATTGTAGGGATGAGCTCCATGTTTGAGTCAAACAACTAGTTTGCTAGTTTGTGTGTTCGGTGAATACATGAACTATCAAGGCGTTCAGCGGGCTGTTCGCACGGTGCCTTGTGAGAGCCCTGATTGGGTAAAGCAATGCACCTGACCACAGGTCAGGTGCAAGACTTTTCCCAATCATGGCACAGTGCACTGTAAGAGCCATGATTGGGCAAAGTAAACATGACTTTGCCCAATCATGGCTCATAGCTAAGTCCCAGCCCCACACTATATAAGGCTGCGTGCACCGCTATGTAGTGTGTTTCTGGAGTTAAAGATAGATTGTAGTGTAGTACAGTGTAATGTAGAGAAAGATAACTGGTGTCAGTGATTTATACAGAATGTTAGTGCTATATACAGTACTCTGTACTGTATATAGTATTATTGTCTGTGCTGTCTGTGCTGTTTCTTTTTTTGTTCTGTTTGTGTCAGTGGCATCACTGGTGTTCCTTCTTCTGCACCACTAATGTTCCCTTTTTTTTTTCTTTTTACATTTTTTAAATTTTTATTTTTTTCAGCAGCAGGTTCTTTTGCTGCCTCATTGCTGTTCCCCCTTCCGTGCCACAGGTGTTCCCCCTTCTGCATCACCGGTGTTCCATTTTCTTACAAAATTATTTTTACTTCTTTTGCTGCATCATTGATGTTCCCCCTTCTGCATCGCAGGTGTTCTGTTTGTTAATTTTGTTTTCATAATAATCCATTGTACCAACAGTTTATAGTGCACCAAGCACCACATTCGATAAAGTATTGCACCCAAGCACCAATTTCCCATCCCTCATTCTCGAATACATTTTTATAAAAAGCCCCACATCATGTATGAATGGCCAACAAGGATACAGGTGTGTGACATCAGCATATAATTAGATTTTTTTATGGCAGGGCCCATTCCTGCGCCCATCAAGAGTAACTGTGAGTGGTTACAGTGTGGAGGCACCAACACCAAAGGCCCACTTTTTCCACACCTGTGTGGCAGGTATATATCATTTGAACTGTTAGAGCAGGGTCCAATCCTGCACTCGGCAAGAGTAATTCTGAAGGGTTACGGTGTGAAAGCACCGCCAACAGTGAAGGCCCAATTTTAAAGCACCTTTTGTAACTTTCATCCAACATCTGCAAAAGAGGCACCAGAATTTATCACAAAAATCTCTAACCTTGTTCCGAGTGTCCTAACATTTTACCTCTTCATACAGACTGCCTCCCCAAGCAGTTGTTTACAAGATTAAAGGAAAACCAATTACCGGCAATTTAAATGTAATTTTTTCTTTATAAATGTCAGCTTTGCTGCAGCAGGTTCTATACATCGTACAGATGTGCCACTTTACAGGCAGTTTAAGGGGACCCCCTAGGCACGATATTTAAAGGAATTTTTCATTTTTATTGTTTCACTTCAAGCAATGTTAAAATCACTGCTCCTTGATACATGTCCCCCAGGGCAGTACCCGAATCCCTAATACCCTTTTTATGGCCATTAACTTGCATATAAGTGTTCAAAATGGGTACATTTGATTTTATAAGTTCTGGTCCCAGAGTTTTTTATTGAGTTCTAAGTTTGAGTTGGAACTTTTTCCATGATCTAATGTTCTAGTTAGAACCGTACTCAGGTGTGTTCAGCCCATCACTAATTGTATGTCATTTTACAAATGCAGTTTACAACAGCATGTTAAAATACTGTTTATGAAGTCTATACGATATGTCTCTTTTTTTCTGTAAAATATAAACAGAGTTATTCACAAAAGGGTGAAGATTTTAGAGAAGTGAACAATCTAGGACAATATAGTTGATTTGGAAAGAGCCTCTAATTCAGCTTACTTTCCAGTTCTGCTATTTTGGCCTAGATTGTTCCCTTCTCCTGTCTTTTCCAAACTCTTCACTCTTTTGTGAAAAACCCTTACGGTGATAAGGGGATTTTTGGACTGAAAATCTGTATGATATGTGTCCTTTTCAAAATGCAGCCTAATCTAACTCTTTCATTGCTCACTGTGGAATCTGCTCAACGCTTCCAGCCATTGTCTCTGATAAATGATAAATAATGTCACTAAAGGAGCGCTTAGATAGATAGGAGGTGAACCATAAGAGAGCAGAGTCATGCAGGCAAAGCGAGTGGAGTTTTTTGAGGAGGAGCAGGTGGTCAACCGTGTCAAAAGCAGCAGAAAGGTCTAATAGCAAGAGTAAGTAATAGTGGCCATTGTTTTTAGCAGTTAGTAAGTCATTAGTGAGTTGTAGGAGGGCAGTTTCAATGGATTGTAGGGGGCGAAAGCCAGACTTTAAGGGGTTGAGAAGGTTGTTATCAGTGAGGTGGTGGCTCAGGCGGCCGTAGATAAGGCATTCTAGTAGTTTGGAGGTGAATGGGAGTAAGGAGATTGGTCTGAGTTAGTTGATGTTAGTTGGCTCCAGTGAGGGTTTCTGGGTATTGGAGTGACACGTGCATGCTTTAGAGGGGAGGGAAAGATGCCAGTAGAGAGGGGATAGAGCAAGAGGGTGACATAAGTAATGTTGAATATGCTGTCATTGACGCTGTGTGTGAGAACTGTACATTTCTGTAACACTACATGCAGCCTAAAGGCATCTCCCAAGCATGTAATATGTTCTCCCCACTAAACAGCATATTTTAAAAACTATTTTTGCATTGGTGCATGTCTCCAATGGCAGTGCCCAGCTCCTCATGCTCTTTGTTTGACAATTGATTGCCAATTAGCCTTGAAAATGGCCAGCATTGATTTTCAAGACTCTCTTCCAATTGACTTCAGTGCGGTTTGGGTCAAATGTCACAATTTCTGGAATTAATAATGAGTTTGATGACTGGCCCACAAAATAAACCCAGGAAGATTTACTCATCCCTGGATTAAATGGTTTTGATTGTATAAAGGTGACAATTTAATTGTCCTTACTTGAAAAACTTTACCTACATTCTAGAAAAATACACTTGCTGTTGGTTCTAAATGAATAGTGTGTTTTCCCCCAAATACTATATTAACATCTACAGATATTGAAGATACATGAACATAAATACTTCACATTAAGATCTGCTCAAGAACAAAAATATATTAAAATATCTTTTTATCCACCCTGGCAACATCAACATTTTATAAATCCAAATAACTTCTTTTGACTTAAAAATTAATGTTTATAATCTGGTTTTGAAAACATATTTGCATACTTGGAACTGCACATTTTATATTGGCTGTTTTAGTTCGAAGAACTTCACATAGGCTGTTAAGGAGAATTTAATTTGCGTACTTTTTGAGACTTGTTTTCAGGTACAGCCACATAAAGCATGAAATAGATTAGAAAGCATTTCCCTGAACTTCTGAAAATACCTATTACAGTGGAGCTATTATATTACTCAATATCCTAAGAGCTTTAAGCAGCCTTAGCTTAAGCAGTCGATCCTGGCAGTCAATCCTGGCATCTTTAACTCAATTCAAGGATTTGGCTTTCAAGGCAAGATCAAAGAAACAGAGCACAGATTTGGATTTCAGTGAAGTCCTGAAATAAGCTTCAGACAAAGATGTGTAGTTTAATCTATTTCTAAACTGATAAGCTTTTTAAACACATTGTTTTAGGACGATGTATGTGCTTCACTGGTCACATTGTAGAACACTTTATACAATGCAGAAATAACATTTAGTTGTATAATGGACTGTATGGCTGATCAATACTCTGAGTAAACCCATTTAGTTTGTACTTGCTCTGTTCATTAGGAACAACATTAAAATATACTATAATTGTATTGTGTCTTACAAATTATGTCTACAATTTCTTTTATTATATGTGTACTTCATGTACCAATCCCAATCATCTGAGAAACCTAATTTTGTTAGAGGTTGAAATGAACAATTTTAAACCAAAACATAAAATTCTTAAGATAAAGCTACACTGGCCTCTACCCATGGTAGTTTTGTTTTCCACAAGGACACATTTCTGAGCATTTTGACCAACTTACATTAACGCCCAGCTCCAGGTTTTTATTGTTTTTTTTTGTTTCAGTGAGGAAGATATTAGGTTACATTTCAATCCCCATTTAGGAGACTTCCCCACACTTTCTGTTCTAATACCCATCCCATATACATGTAGTGACAGGAAATCTACCCAATAGGAACACAAACAACAGTAAAAAACTGACATAGGTTCTAATCCTTCACTTTATTAAAAACATAGTTTAATTACTGTATATATTTCTGCTATATTCTGTTCTGACATTCATCA